GAAACATTTTAACTTACTGCTTCGGGATGACTATTTGCTTGCCAGATGTGTCCACTTGATAGGTATGGTAGATGATGAAATAGTCACATGTCAAATGAGCACAGAATCTCAGAGTTGGACATTTCAAGACCAAAGGGACCAACCCTGAGGAATATCTAAGCCACCAGAAGGGGCTATCTTCTCTTCATTCCATCCCTCTGGGGGATGGCTTCCTGGGTTCTCTACTACTTCTATGTTTTATCACACTGATGGTAATAAAGGCACACATAAACCTGTCTTGCCTGCATTTATATTAGCTTTTCCTCCTAAAAGAGAATGCACATGTATCAATAGAGCACAGGCTTCAGGAAAAATCCACATCAGAGAAGCGCTTTCTAGAGAGTTGAGGGCAAGGGAGGTAGGGAAAGAAGTGTCTAAGGAACTAGGGGGGAGAAAGGAAAACCAAAAGACTATAAAGTCAACAAAACAACTGCTATAAATTAGTATGAGTGAGAAGGATTAAATTTTATGTCAAAAAATGGGACCAGGGGCACCTGGGTGGCTCAGTGGGTTAAAGCCTCTGCCTTCAGCTCAGGTCATGATCCCAGGGTCCTGGGATTGAGCGCCGAATCAGGCTCTGCTTCCCCCTCTCTCTCTGCCTGCCTCTCTGCCTACTTGTGATCTCTGTCAAATAAATAAATAAAATCTTTTTTTTTTATAATGAGACCAGTGATAAAACATGTTGATATTATGTGTCCCTGATATGTTTGCAAAGAGAAGGGCAGTGAACCTCTGTGGTATTCTTTGTTTTTGCTTTTGTTTTTGTTTTTTTAAGATCTTATTTATTTATTTGACAGAAAGAGAGAGAGAGAGAAAGAGAGCACAAACGGCAAGAGGCAGAGGGAGAAGCAGATTCCCCAGTGAGCAGGGAGCCCGCTGCAGGGCTCGATCCCAGGACCCTGCAATCGTGACCTGAGCCAAAGGCAGATGCTTAACCAACTGAGCCACCCAGGCGCCCCCCTCAGTAGTATTCATCTCAAAAACTTAACCGCAGCCTAATCATGATAAAAACATCAGGCAGACCCCAAATGAGGGAGATTCTACAAAATACCTTGCCAGCATTCTTCAAAGGTTTCAAGGTCATGAAACACAAGGAAAGACTGAGAAAATGTCAGAGACCAGATTAGACTAAGAAGCAGGATGACTAAATGCCCCATGGGGTCCCAGATGGGATCAGGAACGAGGAAGGGAGAAGAGTCAAAAAACTGGTGAAATCCAGAGGAAGTCTGGAACTTAGCCAATAGTAATATACAGAAGGTAATTTCTTAGTTTTGACAAATACACCATGGCTATGGAAGAGGCTGACACAAGAGGCAACTGGGTGAAGAGGAACCCTCTACAGTAGTTTTACAACTCCTCTGTACGTCGGAATTTATTCCAAAGTTTAAGGGTTATCTTTAAGGAAAATAGATAGTCTTTGACCAGGAGAGGAATTTTGCACTGGCAAGAGAAAGCCACTGCCCATTGGTTAATATTAGTCTGATTGTGTGGTTTCTACTGAAAAATGGCTGTCGATCAGGTTTTAAATAGCCCTTGGGAAGTTGTTGTTAAAACTTGGTTTCCTCTGTTCCTACGGGAGGCAATGTGACATAATCAAAAGAATATTTCGCTGTATAACTTTGGGTATTGGAGAGAATCATTTTAACCCTTTTGGAGCTCTGGTTCCTCATTCCAAAAACTAGAGGAGTTGCACTAGATTAACTATGAACTGTCTAGCAGCTCTAAAATTGTAGGATTCACTCAGACAAACAACAGACTATGAAAAACAAAACTCTTTCCAAATTAATTTGAGACTATCATTTGTATGGCTGAGGCCAGAGGAACTGAGGTGTAGCAGTACCGTGATACACTATTGTTTCTTCACCTTATCTAAAAAGTAACAATGAGGGAGGGTGCTCTGGAAACTTGGCCAAGGAGTTTGGAAATGCAGGGGTGGCGATGCTAGGAGGCCAGTCCATGAAAAGAACAATGACTTTTAAAACCAGAGGATACAGGGGGAATACATGCAGGCAGAGAACAGTGAAATGCAAGAACTATGAAATCTATGTGAAAAGACAAGGCATCTGGGACAAGAAGGCACACTTCTGGCTGCTGAGCAGTCTGAAGACCAAGGCAAGCCCACCGCAGGGCATTATCCACTGGGACTCTGCCACAACAGTGTTCCAAGAATCATGACAGAAGAGCCAGAGCTTTAAGATAAAAGGAAAACGTATGGAAAGGGTGGTTGGGTTATGGACATTGGGGAGGGTATGTGCCAAGGTGAGTGCCGTGAAGTGCGTAAGCCTGACGATTTACAGACCTGTACCCCTGGGGCAAATAATACATTATATGTTAATAAAAATAATTAATAAAAAATACTTAATCTTGGGGTAAAAAAAAAAGATAAAAGGAAACCCTCAATCCACAGTTTTAAAAAAGGGGACCCTCCTTCTCTGATGATGAAGGAAGTAAGAAAAATGGTTCAGTCTTAAACTAGAGGTAGAAAAATCAGAGCAACCTAGCAGGGACAATGACGGAGAGTATTAGATTACAGGAAAAGCCAGCCTTCCAGGGGCGGGTTGGAGCACCGGAGTGATTCCTACTTTGAAACAATGCCCGCTGAAAAACATGACACCAAGCATCTGTATAGAATTACCTCTGGGCACGGAGTGTTACCACAGGGCTGCCTCAATGATCTTCATGCTTTAAAACAATTTGCTTCGCTGGGAAAGAGGAAAAGGAAAAAAGGTGGCCACCCACCCTGAAGGTTGTCTTTGAAAGATTCCTCTCCCCTGACTTAACAGAGGAATAAGACTGCCCCACCTCATGGCGGTGAGGTATGGAGGGGCCCTGAAGAACCAAGTTCTATCCCATGACCCCAGGGAACATTTGGGTCTCTCATCCGAAAGAATTGAACAATTAGTTTTGGGATGTCTAGCATGGGTCAATGCCTGGAAAACAAGGAAAAAGCAGAATCCTGCCCTCGAAGACAGTACAACATAAGAGCTGAGTCAAATATGTTAAAAGGAAATACAGTATGACTTTCGATGATAAGTAAACTGTCATTTCTATCATGATTTAAAACACTTCCCATTTATTCTCTGGAGAGGTTTCCAGCCTCAACTGAGCTCTGTGTGGTTCTCCGTGCATTGTTCTCGTTATTACCCACCCCTGCTCTCACCAGCCAAAGACAAATGCCCTTTGAGGCTCAAAGTGGTTAGGTGACCTACTTAAAATGACACAGCCAGTGAGCCGCACAGTCAAAACCTGAACCCCATGCTTCTTCCTGGTACAGAAACAGATTTGTTGCCCCCATTTGCCTTGGAAACTTGTCTTTTTATCGTTAATGCTCCATCCACACCGCAAGTTACTCATCGGTCGCAACGCTGACTCTCCTTCCTGGTGGCTGTATGGCGAGTCCGTCCTCAGTGAGGACCCTTGAGGGAACACCTCACGTGCTCCGAGTGAGGGGAGAGTCCCTAGTGACTGGTTCCATCAGTGCTTCCAATGGCCAGTGTCTCTTCCACGGCCGGTTTTATGTTAATTTCTCCATGTGGAGGAAAAAATGGGAGTTCTTATTCAGATTGACCGATTTAACTCAAAAAATATTTATTGGGCTTGTCACTCTCTCCACAAGGTTCTGAGTATGAAGAAAATGAAATATATATATTCTTATAATGAGAATTGGGTGGGAAAGTGTCCATCACGGGGAGTGAAACAAGGAAAACATTTGCCAAATGTGAAAAATACTTCCCTTCCCCAAGGTAGGAAGTAGCACAGCCTGACTTGGGCCTGGGGACCTGGGGAATCCCTTCTACTTTCTCTCTCTGGAATTTTATCCCACATTAAAATTGTTTTTCACCATTATGAGAAGGAATGCTTCCACCGTGTGTTCAAAGTGAATGCTGCTTTAAAATTATTTTTATTGGGACGCCTGAATGGCTCAGTCAGTTAAGCATCTGCCTTAGGCTCAGGTTGTGATCCCAGGGTCCTGGGATCAAGCCCCGCATCGGGCTCCCTGCTCAGTGGGAAATCTGCTTCTTCCTCTCCCTCCCTCTGCTCGTGCTCTCTCTGCATCAAATAAATGAATAGGATCTTTTAAAAATTAATTAATTAAAATTATTTCTATTATTATAAGTACAAACAAATTATGAAATTGATTTGAACAGGCTTTTAATTGCTGGTTTTAGTTTGTTTCTTTGCAGATTCCATTAATACTTCCTAACAGTTGAATTATAATCGGTCTCCTATTATGGCCAATGTCTCAACTGATATTATCAAGTTAACTCTAACATTATACTTAGAAAGGAACTCTAAGACAATTGTTCATTATTACATGTCATCCAAAGTGACATTTTAAAAGCTAAGCAAACAAATCACTATCACCCTCTTGGAGATTTTACAAAGATAAAGAGCTGATAATGAAACACAAATCTTTACAGCATAATTGCCCCAGGAATACATAAATAAATATTTGGCTGTATTTATTAGTTTGGAAAGTAGGCTTTCAGAGTTCATTATCAAGATTTCCTTTCAACAGATAGACTATCATCCAGCAAAACAAAAATTGAAACTACTCTTTCCCTGTAAATCCTTCAATGTGTAAAAGAAGAAAAACAACAAAGAAATTTTTGAAAGACTTTTCAGTGGACACATTTACATGTGAAAGTTTCACACTGAATAAAGTTTTTTTTTTTTAAGATTTTATTTATTTATTTGACAGAGATCACAAGTAGGCAGAGGGGCAGGCAGAGAGAGAGAGAGAAGAGGAAGCAGGCTCCCTGCTGAGCAGAGAGTCCGATGCGGGACTCGATCCCAGGACCCTGAGATCCTGACCTGAGCCAAAGGCAGAGGCTTTAACCCACTGAGCCACCCAGGAGCCCCCACACTCAATAAACTTTTAACATGACTTATTTTAAGACACAAAAATAATCTCAGGCTCTTATGTCACATAATAAAAAAAATAGATATGTATTTCTTACCTCTGAATTTCTTGGGAGGGTTGGTGAGGTCTCCCGCTTCAGGGTGCACCACACATCTGTCATCCACTAACCTGGAAGACAAAGCATATTGATACTAATAACCTCGTCATGTTCAGAAAGCACAGATCACATGTGGCTACTGTATACATACTTACTCAGAGTATGAATACCATTTTTCACTAAGAAACTTTTTAACAATCATAAATTTGTAATAAGATTTTGTCATAAAGATACTAATTGAAGCAGCATTTATGAAACTGAAAATTTTTGCTAAGTGGAAGGAAACTGGTAACCAATCGTGATATAAACAAATGACGGAATACTGTAAAACTAGTTAAGTCTATTTTTAAAATGTACTGGCCTGCAGAATATTTATAATATGTTTATGAAAATAACTGGTAGCAAACCAATAAGATATCACACACACACACACACACACACACACACACCCTCTACACATACACATATAAGGAATGGAACACAGACACCAAAATATTAACAGTGGTCAGATTACATAGTTTTGATTTTCCTTTTTTTTTTTCCTATGTGTGTGTGTTTGGCGGGGGAGGGGGGGTTGTTTGTTTGTTCGTTTGTTTGTTTTTTAACAAGGAATGTGTGAGCTCAGGAGATCATACAGGGACCGTAAAGTGAGTGGTAATGAGCTCTCATCCCTCATTCGAACCCTGGGTCAGCTGCTTCTTAGCTATGTGACTTTGAGCCTCCTTCTTTACACCTGTAGAATAAAGATACCTACCTCATAGCATTGCTAGGACAATTACATGATTTAATATCTCTAAAGAACCTAGTACAGTTTCTGGCACATAGTAAGTCTTTATAAGTCTTTAATAGCTAAATAAAAATCAAGGACCTTGCCTGACTTATTCTTTACCATACGGTCTGCTTCTAGAAGAATGTCTGACATACACTAGGTACTCAATGAATACTAATCAAATGAGCAAATCACCCTTATAGTTATAGAAACATATTTAATTCTTATTAAAATATTCATTAGAAGCTAATTTCTAGGACAATATCAAGAGAAGAGCTGAATCTCTGACCTGAGAGCCAGGAGACATGAACCTCCCATTCAAAGAGAATTATCTAACTACCAAAGCTTATTCACTAACATTCATTTTCTTCACTGAGTAAGTGGCAGGAGTAACTGGATTTTTTTCCAGGATATTGTAAGAAGCATGTGAATTAGTTCTAAATTTGTGAATTCATTTGAAAGGAGGTGCCCAAGTTGCAACAAATCAAAACACAAACAAACAAAAACATAAAACCAAGATCACTAGTATCACCAATAGTGTCATGCGTCAACTCAGCACTGAGTAAACCCCAATTTGTGATCAAATGTCCCCTTGAATTAGGATGACAAACTAAATCAAAATGAAACTTCTGGTTCCTGATTTATCTGCTTACCCAAAGCAGACACTTCCTAAATCACCAAATTTTTCTATGGCGTCCAATTTCTACAAAACAAAATGTTAACTTGGTCAAGCAATATGGTTCTTTGATTTTTTTTATATATACTCCATTCACACTGGTTTACTAACATGTGGTTTTACAAGAGTTGCCAAGCATGCAAGATATTCCTTTTAAAAGTCTTTAAAACTGTTTTTCTTAGAAACAGGAAGTCACATTGGGTCAAGAGAAAGTAAACCCAAACCTCCACAATATCCAGCTTCAGCCTAGAACACTGAATGTGAAAGGCTCAGAGAGTCCTGAGAATGTCACAACATAATATTTAATTTTTCTTAAAAGCTATGAATTAAAAGGCAGCTTTTCTAATTACTTAAAACATGTTAAGAATTCAAAATATAATGATCAAAAATGCTCAAAAATGATAATCTTTTTAGAAAATTATATGAAAAGCAGCATTGACATTCTACTCATTCTTTGTGCCTACCCATTCCTCCAGAAATACAGAATCATGCTATAATGCCTACTAAGAGTCCCTACCTGCAGGGGTTAATCATCAAGAGGAAGGGGTAAAATTGAAGCTATATGTCAGATCACAGTGCATTTACATACTTGTGCCTATCCTCAATTACATGATAGCTCAGATTAAAACATAATACCTAAGAATGACTTCAGTTCTAAGAATTAGTCCTATTCATTATACACAAACATCTGTGAAAATCACAAAATCATTCCATCATGAAGACTTAAATAATTGCAAATGAGAATGGAAGAAAGGGAAAGATGGGGACAGGAAGGGGGGGAAAAGTAAGGAGTGTGAGTCTGTTACAAAGACATAGACAATCATTGATGTTAAAAGTTAAATAGGATTTTGATGGTATTTATTGGCGCTACTTCTTCATTACCCCCATAGCCTCTTCGTGAGTACCTCCAAGGTCAGAGTATTCATCATTTACCATCTTTCTGAGAGTATTAATATCAGAGAGGTGTTTTATATGGAGGGGAAATAGCACCCCGTGTTTACCTTTACTATACTTATCACATTTTCATTAAATTGCTTGCTTAATTGTCTGAATCTTTCAATAAATTGCAGCTTCATGAAGTCAGGAACTGAATCCATCTTGTTTACTATTATATCTTTGGCAACTTTGAGAATGAGTTATAGTAGATATTAAATATCTATTACATGAATAAATGAGTCAGTGAATAAAATGAGACTTGCTTCCCAAATAACTTTCCCTTTTCAGTCCCAGTTCTTTCCTCTGGAACTATGTAAACTAAGTTTTCTTTTTCTGGGATGAATAAGATGATTTCTCTCCAATTCTTTTTCATAACGATATTTATCAAGGAGCTCAACGTCCTTTCATACACCTCAAGTGTCAACCTCCCCCTTAAATACAATTCTAGACTCTCTGCATGAGTCCAGATATACCCTCCAATGGCTCCTCCACAGGAGACTCTTCACCAAGAATCTGTATTTTTAAAAAATCTCTCCAAAACTCTTGTTTTTGATTCTGGTCATGATCTCAGGGTCATGAGATTGAGCCCCAGGTGGGGCTCCATGCTCTCTGGGGAGATTATCTCCTGAGAATCATGAAAGATTCTCTCTCCCACTCCTTCTGCCCCTCCTGCTCTCTCTCTCTCTCTCTCTCTCTCTCTCAAATAAATAGATAAATCTTTTTAAAATCCCTCTCCTTCCTTAAATGGATCAGGAATACCTATTCTGCATCCTCATTGTACTCTAGGCTATCCTCTATCAATAAAACTTTTCACGTTCCATCATAATTTTCAAACATAAGTCTCTAATGCTATGAATTATAAGTTCCAAGAGAGTCAGACCATTTCTGTTTTGTTCACCATAACACGCCCAACTTTAAGCATTAGGCCTCAAACATGGAAGATACTAAATAATTATTGAGTGAATGGGTGACTTTTTGAATCGCTGAATTGGTCAATAATGTTATTTTTGGTAAGTCAAATAAACAGTAAAAATAACTGGAACCAACAAACAGTTGCCTAAATGTAGATACAAGGAAGGGTGGGAAACATTTCCCATCCAGATGTGTTTCAGAAAATTATCAAAAATATCAAATCCTGAACAAGACCAAGATAGCCTGTTTTAAATAACTGTAACTCATATAGCCCCTTTCAACCCAATGAAAAAAATCTCAAAGACATAAAGTTGAGCTTAAAAGAAGCACGTCCCAAACTAGTAACTGCTATATAATTCCATTTATATTGAAGGGGCAAAACTAAGTAGCGGCATTTTAGAAATATGCATGGAATATAAACAAATTGGTGTATAAAAATACATGGCTATCAGATTTTTTAAAGATTTCCAAAAGAAAGCAAATTATCCTTTGATCTCCAGTCCCTTATTATTCCCCCAAATGTAAAGAAAATGTCACATAGTAGGTAAAATATGTTAGTCATGTGAATAAAGGGAAATCTTACAAAAACAGAGTGAGGAGACTAGAAGGGGAAACCATAGCACTCGAGGTCAATTACATAAAGAATTGTCAATTATAGACCCCAACAAAAAAAACCATCAAAAGAAATAATCATTAATTACAGGACCCAACAAGAAAAGTTGTACACACTGCATCTCCTATAAGAAATCAACCACCCTTGAAACTCAGCCATTAAGAAATTATCATAAACCTGGACTCGTGCTTTTCTCCAATAGACTTTCATTCAAAACAACCCCTCCCAACTTCTTCCTCCTTCTCCATAAAACAATGGTTCTCCCCTTTGTTTGTTGGACTTGCCTATGGTTTTGCCACTGCTTGCCTGACCCAAATTGCAATTCTCTGTTATCCCCAGATAAACCCAATTTTGCTGATAAAATAACTTTTATTTTTTTAGAGTTAACAATTGTACCTTTTTCCTTCAGAAACCACAAAAGAAACTATTTCCAGTGTGAATACTTTATAAAATAAGTATACTATTTTCCTGCTGTTTCCCCACTGTGTGTTCCTGGATCCTCATACCATTAAGAGATATAGTTCACTTCTAATGAAATGACTCTGAAGCACATTTAAACGAAATGAATTTAGGGGGAAAGAAAAAGTGTGGAATCCACCATGGATATTATCAAAAAGGTGTACTAAGAAAGGGGGTTAGAATTGTAGCTAGGTTCATAAGCAGGATGGAATGCTCAGGTCATGATTTTAGTTCCACATCAGGCTCCTTGCTCGGTGGAGAGCCAGCTTCTCCCTCTGCTTGCTCTTCCCCCTGTTTGTGTTTACTCACTCTCTCACTCTCGCTCTAACAAATAAATAAGGAAAATCTTCAAAAAAAGAAGAAGGCGGTGGAGGAGGAGAAAGAGGAGGAGGAGGAACAGGAGGAGGAGGAGGAGGAGGAGAAAGGAATTGCCCTCAAAGTTCTTCCAGAACTTGACCACAAATAACTTTATCCCCAAATCTGGGTTCACTTTGTTGGCCATATAAAATTTCTCATAAATTCTGCAACCCTCTGGCATCTTACCTAAACTATCCCTCCTCCCCACACATCCGCACCACCTGCCACCCTACAGCCCCCACAACCCTGGCACATATTCACCTCCCTCTTTCACCTTCATTTAGAAGCAGCACTAGAACAGAAGGAAAAAAAAACCCTAAGTTTTAATCCTTGGTCTGCCACTACAGAA